TGAGCCTCGCTTGGGTTACGGTGTTGGTTCCCATCACTTACTCCCCCATATTTGTGTAGTCTGCCTGTAACCATCCTGAGTCTCTATTCGGGCCCCCTGGGAGGGGGGGTTCCTCTGAATGGCCCTCCTCTGAATGGCCCCTTCTTACAATGTGGGGCACAAACCCTAAGCCGGCTCTCCAATTGAGCTGCTCTCTTAGTGGGTTCCCAGCCCGTGGCAGGGGGCATGACCATTGGTTACCCATGGCATGCCCGCTGTTGGCGCCGGACCATTCGGCGGCGTTGACATGCCACTGTTGGTTGTGATGGGCATATCCGTATGCCCACCTGCACATTCGTGGCTCTCACTGTTAGCGATGGACCAGTCGGTGGCTCTGACATGCTATGGGACACCTCCCAGTGCAGCATGCTCAGATGCTTCCCTCACAGCCATGGCATCATGCTCTTGGTGCTGGACCATTCGGCAGCACTGATATGTCATGACCAGCTGTGCTCCTACCGTTGATGCGGTTGGTCTTATCCATGTACTCCTGGGGTTGTTACCAACCCCCCGGCTGTGGTTACAGGCAGGATCTCGGGGAGTGGCCCTCGCGAAATTCCAAACCTCCTCCCTCCTCATTTGAGGTTTCCGGAGGCCGATAGTCATTAAAGTAAAGAAACTTATTCTAATACTAAGGTTAAGTATACTAATTACTTTTAATTATTAATATGATGCTTAATTTAATAGGAATCTCATTCAAAAACAAAGAAAGCAAGGTCTTCCAATTTTAGAAAGAATTAATCTTGAAGGAGTTACATCAATAACTCTAAAACTTTTATGCGGTGTGATTTATAAAAGAATTACCAGAGTACCCAGGAGCACCCTGAATCCTGATGAATTTCGACAGTAATTATTTTATTAAAGTAATTTGATTTTAATATTTATAGGCAATATGAACAAGTTATTCAACCAATACAAACAATTCTTCTTAATAATGAAATAGTTGAAACAGTAAGAATAAAAGGAAAAACATTCAAATAGTCAATAATAATGTCTCTGATAGTTGATTGATTTACTTCATCATCCAAAAGATGACATAGCATTTCAGGTTTTGGCTTGTCTTAATGTTTTACTCTATCCTGGAAATGAAGAAGCTCAAAAAAGAATAACTTTGCATGTCAATCAGCAAGACAAAAATCTTTTTGTACGTGTCCATCAAATATTAAGAAGAACTCAATCTACTCTCAATAAAGCAAAGTAGGCTAATGCTTTTAGCAATATTATAATGCTTGTGTCATTTTTTAGAATGGGCCAAGCCATGGCTGTAAGTTTGAAGAATTTTTTAATGATAAATAGTTATACTTCATTTCAATTTTAGCAAATAGCAGCATTGATTCCAGCAGAGGATGATCATGACTCATCATTGCCCATTAATTTAATGGTAAATAATTAAGCTATGATTTATTAATATTAAACATTTGCAGAAAAGAAGAAAAACTCGTGTATTTAATAGAAGGCGAAGAGCAGCTATAAAAGGGACTAATGAATGTATGATATTTAAATGGCTAATTTAATAATAATGAAATTTATTTGTAGGTGATAAAGAAGCAAGAGGAATAACTTCTGCTGTTGAACAAAATGTAAAAGCTGAATTTATTGATCATCGTATCACAATGGCTGCCTTGAATTTCCTCTCATGGTTATGTGATGGGCAACAAAAAGACATGCAAGACATCCTTTGAGACGACAAAACGTTTAGTGTATGTCTAACATTATTGAATAATACCTTAATGTTGCATGAAAATTAATGCTAAAATTTTGATGGTTATGTATAGATCTGTTTGCCTATAATGAAAGCAACCAAGGTTTCTCCATTTTTCTTCCATGTAGCTTTGGTTAATTAATTAAAAGTGACTAAATACTGTATATGCCATACAATTATTTTGCAGAGATTAAATTTCACAATTTTTGCATTTGGAAAAATTTGCAAATTAAAATCCGCAAATAGCATGATGATTATAGTAAGTGGGTAATTACATCGCAAAATTTTTATTTGCAAATACAAAAATTTAGCCAAATTGCAAAATATTACAACCACAAAATATATGGCATAAGGTATTACTGAGTTTTAGTTGACTACCATACTTTGTCAAAATAATTTTAATTTATATGTGGCGACAGTGTTGCCATTTAAACCACAGTAAACTGCTATATTATTGTATTGTTTTTCCCTAATACAGGGATCTAATATTGTTAGTCAAGTTGCTTTTTTACTCCATGGAATCACTGAAAATTTTAATGAAAGCAATGTATCAGTTATCCAGGATGCAGTGAAAGCATTGATAGAAATGTGTGCTGGTAATTATAGCAATCAAGTGATTGCTTTCAAAGGACAAGTCACACAGTCTGTTGAGACAATAATGCAAAAGGACTTTTCCAGTGCTGGTGCTACAGTTAGTCAGCAATAATTCAAATTGCCACAACAGATATTTTTAGGATCGTTACAAACTCAAATCTTCTTGCATTGAATTGCTGGAAGTTATGCTAGAAGAAACAGATGAAAATTCTCCACAGCTAGCTCAATGGATAATAAATCACTGGAACATAGCTACATTTTTAAAGGCTATGTTTGAATTTTGGCAAGCATATTTAGGGCCTTTTAATGTTTCTACTCGTGAACAACTACGAAACAGTGTGTTTCGTGCTTATCATGTACTTCGAAGAATTTCTGATTATAAAGGAATCAGTGTTGACGAATTAGGTTAATATTTCTATTGATATTGTTTTATCGTATAACTTGACTCTATACATGTAGTGGGATATGAAAAACACTCTAAAAAAACTGATCCTACAAGCTTTGATAAATTATTTGATGAAAGTGTAGATGATGCTAAAGGAATGTGGCAACATTGTCAAGATTGGTCAAGAAGTATTGAAGTTGTCTACAAAGCTAAGAGTGGTAAAAAAATTCTGACCCGTACCTATTTTCTATATGAACCCCATGTATGTTTATGCCATTTTTGAACTGTACCAATCCATAACTGATTTATGTTACAGAAACATCTTGGTGAGAGTGAGAAAAATACTATAATGCTACGCATCAAAAGAAATACACCTCAGGAAAAACTCTCTGATCTTCTCAAATGGACAGAAGCTATTAGATCTGCTCAGGAGTGGAAAGTATGATATTAATATAGATAATCTATAAATGAGTAGAAAATTTATTACATTGTGTCATACATGTTATTATGCAAATATTTTAAAATTTAGATCTAATAATTTTATGTATAAAATAAATACTTATAATAATAATGGTGTCTGTTACTATCAATTGTTTTGAATTTAATAGAAAAAAGTAAAAAAATCCTGGAAATTTTACTGGCTCTTGTGGGCATCGTGAGTTTATCTCTATATAACCAATACTATTATTATTTTTAACTTTAGAACAACAAGGCATTTCATCTTATTCTGGTTAACAATACTTATAAATGCAATTGTACTATTTTCTGTCACAGCTCCATCAGAGTAAGCCTAAGTTTATTATAATAAAACTTAATAATTCATTCACAGTTATGACAATGAAACCTGTGCTGTCGATGGTGATTGTAATAGTACTACTCTACTCTACTTTAAGCCCATTTTGAAGCCTGATACACCTGTATGGTATTATCCAGCCTTTTACATTCTTGGCATTGTTCATATGATACTTGCTTTGTGGATGGTTTTGCAGTATTTTGCAAAGCATTGGACTAACATACGTTTCGAAATAGCAATTACTAAAAAAATTATGTAAGCCATTTAATTTTAATTTTAAGCCAATGTTTTTGTCATTAGGCATGAGGCTAAAAAAGGACTTTTGCGAAGAAAGTATCTTCATAAGTTTTTTAGGAAGCTCAACAAAATTTTCTGTTGTGGAAAATTTCGTTCAGAGCCTCCTCAACCTGAAAAATACTTTCAAATATTTTTCTTCAGTTTTGAGCCACTATATCGTATCCTCTTTGTTATATTGTCTGCATTGGGCCTTGCTGTAAGTAGCTACTTCTACTGTGGTTGCA